TCTTCTTAAAAAGGAAGGGAATTCTAACACAGGCTATATATAGATGAGCCTTGAGGGCATTGTGTTAAGGTAAATAGGTCAATTACAAAACACCAATATGGAATAATTTCATTTCAATGAGGTACCTGGAGTAGTGAAATTCATAAGACAGAAAGTAGAATGGTAGTGTAGTACCCAGGGCCTGGGAGGAGGGAAAATGAGGAGCCGTTGTTTAAAGGGCATAGAATTTTAGTTTTGCAAAATGAAAAGGTCTAGAACTACTTGTATAACAATGCTGATGTAACACTACTGAAATTCACACTTTAAATGGCTAGGGATGGCAAATTTTACATTATGTGTATTTTATCAAAAAATTTTTAAATTAATTTTTTAGAAAGTATAGGCTCTTGGACTAGGGAGTAAAGAAGAATAAATCCCCTTCCTGCGGTTAAATAGGGAAGAAAAATGAAAAAGGAAGGCAGCTTAGAGAGAGTCTCAGTCTCCAATCTGGAAATTATGCCTAGAGCAGGGTTTCTCAAATCATCTGTTGTACAAGGCTAGACCTTGTTTTCTCATTTCCAACCCCTTAGAGAAAAATACTGTTCTTTCTAGAAAAATAAAAAGACTACAAATTCAAAATTTTATTGGATTCAATAAATGTATCAAAATGCTGTGAGACTGTATAAGTGCTTACTTTCAATTCTAAAACATCTCTCAGTACAGGGAAGCAGCCCACCTGTAAGAAGCACCTCCCAAGAGCCGCATTCCTCACCTAGCGGGGAAAAGAGAAAAGCGGAGGTCTGACACCAACTCAGGGAATAATAATTTGTCTTCTAACACACTCTTACACAGAATGTGCTACCTCCGACTTCAGGAAAATATTCCTGCTATCTGAATTGGACCTGTATGATGTTGCTGAAGACTTGGTGAAGTAAGGAAGCCTGAGGTAGTGCTCTCATAGGCCCGGTTAAGGAGCAGGTTTTCATTGCTTGTGAGTGGGGGTGGAGAGATGAAGAGAGAAGTGCCTGTACTCCCTCCAGCCCAACCAACATTCTTAAGTAGAGTTCAGAAACTTCCACAAGAACTGTATGTCGTTTAAGGTATAAAGGCTAATAAATCTTTCGGGGTCTCCCCGGTGGCGCAGCGGTTGAGCGCTGGGTTGCGAAGCTGCCTGCGGCCTCTGCGGCGCCAGTTCAATCCCCGGCTGCTCCCCGGCCACCGGAGGAGGGTCCCAAATGGCGCGCAGACCTCTCCTGCCGCTCAGCAGTGTACTTCGATCCTTCTGCCTGCTCTGCTCCCTGCTCTGCAACCTGCTCTGGCTCTGGTGAATTCTCTCACCCTCCCACACTTCTGACTGTACCCAGTGCTTGTATAAACAAAACAAACAAACAAAATAAATAAATAAAAAACATGCCTCTATAAAAAAAAAGGCTAATAAATCTTTCAAAAAAGGATTTTTCAACGTTAGCACATTAAACATCTCTGTCCAGTCTAAGGAATGCCAATGCTTTATAGAAGCAAAATGAGAGAATTATAACTTTGATCACAACAGCTATTGTTTCTTTTCAGAAATTTTTATATTAAATTTATTCCCAGCAGCTATTCTTTAAAAAAATTTTGGAAGTCCATATACGAGGAAGTCAAAAAAAAAAAAAAAAAAAAAAAGAAAATCAATTCAGGATTATCTACGGCATTTAAAATGGATTTCTTTAGTCACTGTTTAAGACAATGAGGAACAGAGATGATTAGGCAACCTCTAGCACAGTTAGGAATAGAACCAGAAGATTTCTCCCCTAGGGCACAGCTTAATTTATCCTTGGCATAGAAAACTACTATAAAAATAAATCAACAATGTCAAGCAGGACCGGTGCCTCCCCCCACTTGCATTGACCATCTGCTGCGCACGTGCCCCTGCGGGCAGGACAGGATGCGGGCCCTCGGTGACCACAGGCAGCGACACCCCCTGCACCCCACGCAGCCCCCCCAGCCTCAGCTCAGCAGCCCCCGGGGCAGGCGCTCCTGGACTCCAAGCTGCGCGGTGGCGGCCAGCAGAGGAGGAAACCAGGGCAGGGCGCGAGGAGCGGCTGAGCCTGCGCCCACCACAGCCACCAGCCCCTCTGCTGCCCCTTACCTCCGCAGGGCCCAGAGCAGCCGCTGGACACTGGCGCCTTGGAGCCCCTGAGGATGAACACTGAGGGCCACGCCCGCCTGCCCGGCCGGCCTCGCCCACCTGCCTGCCTCAGATTAGGAGTCTGGGCTGGGCCCTGGGAGACCCTGCCCTGCCGCCTCCTGGCCCCTGAGCCTGCAGGCCAGCCCCGAGTGGATGTGGGTCGGTGAGCGCCAGGCACACTGTGCTTGGCAGTGGGGGGCACAGGTCCGCAGCCCCCACCCAGACCACACCTTCCGTGTGGGCCCCCCAGGGGCAGCTCCAGGCCCCTCAGGCCAGCCCCGAGTGGTACTGGAACAGCTTGATGTGGCCGTCCCCTGCGTCTGCCACCACCAGCCGGCCCTGGGGCGCACAGGCCACACCCAAGGGCCGCCCCAAGCCCTGAGAGACCAGGCAGACAGGGGGCCCCACCCGGGGGATCAGGGTCACCTGGCGGCGCTGCTTGTCGGCCACAATGATGCTGCCCACCGCATCCGTGGACACGCCTGCCGGACAGCCGAACGCATGGCCCCGCGGGTGCCCCAGGGAGCCCAGCAACTGGCCGGCACTGCAAAACAGCCGCACGTCCCCACACTCTTCGCTCACTGCCAGGCCTCCGTCGGGCCCCGGGCCCACCCAGCAGGGCCCCTGCAGACCCAGCACAGAGGCCAGGCCTCGGGGCTCCAGGCCGGGGTCCAGGGTGAACATGTGCACGGGCCCGGACACGTAGTCCGTCAACAGGATGCGGCCCAGGGCATCCACAGCCAGCCCCCGGGGGGCCAGGAAGGTGCCCACTGTCACCCAGCGGCCTTGGGGGGCCCGGGTAGTGTACTGGAGCGCGTGGACGGCCCCATGGACCAGGTCGCTGACCACCACAAGCCCAGAAGCTGTCACGGCCACATCCTCTGGCACGAAGGCCCCAGCCCCGGCACGGAGCAGGTCAAGCGGCAGACAGCATGGCCCTCCAGGTCCAGCCCATGGACGCAGGGTGCGGCCCCAGCTGTCAGGTAGAGCAGGCCATCTGGGGAGCAGTGCAGGCCCCGGGGCCCCCCCGCAGCCCCCGCTTGTGCCGGGATCTGCCTGAGCAGCCGGAGCCTCAGGGAGCCAGCGGGGTCTCCAGGCAGGGCCAGCGTGGGGTGCGGGCCTCGTGGCAGCTGGTTGGTGCGGGGCAGTGCAGGAGCCCAGGGGTCAGGCAGGCAGTGTGGGACCTGGGATCCCTCAGTGGGCTGGCAGCGGGGCCCCCTGTCCAGCCCTCCTTGCCCTTCCGGGTGCTGCTGGCATCCTGCAGGCGGGCGGCAGGACTGGAGCTCGGTCCGGCGTCTCAGCCGCAGCTCCTGGCTGGGGATTCTGGTGTGTGCAACCCCCGAAGGAGGCTCTCAGGCCAGAAGGAGGCTGACGGGCACAGGTGTCTCTGTTGAGAGTGGGCATGCGCTACAGGTGGGCAGATTCCCAATCCCACCTGCCCACAGAACCCTTCCAGGGGCAGCCCCCACACAGGCCTCAGCCCTGGGAGACGAGAGGGTCCTCCGAGGCCGCCCTCCTGCCCCCGCTGGAGAGGAGCCCCCTACCTGGGCCCGGGCTCCCACTGGCCGCCAGGCAGCTGCCTCTGTTGTTGGCAACTGGAGCCTGAGGGAGGGGTGGGGCCAGGCAGCCAGGGCCGCAGAGCGGGCAGCGGGCCATGTGGGTCGCTGAGCTGTGACCCCGGGGTGCCCCTGCTCCCATGGCCCCTCCTGGCCCATGCAGCAGCCTCTGCAACACTGTTCCCCTGGTGGCTGGGTCTGGATGCCACTCACACCACTGGGAGGCCCCCAGCCCCCCAGGGAGGCCCCCCAGGGAGTCCCCCAACCCCAGAAAGGCCGCCAGGGAGGCCCCCCACCTCTTGGTGTTACCTAAGGACCAGCTACCCGCAGGTTCGGGCAGGCAGGGTGGAGGAGCCGGGTCCCCGAGCAGGTGCGGGCAGGGCCTGGGGCGGGGCTTCCCCCCAGGGTGACCTCCCAGAGCCAGGGCAGGGCGGGGGGCCATGGGAACTCCCAGTGGGCGGGCGGCCTGACTGGCCCTGTGTCTGCAGCTGTGAGCCGGGTGCTGCCTGGCCAGCCTCCTGCCAAGCGGCCCTGGGAAGTCGTGCGCGACCGCCGGGCTCCCTCATACTCAGGACGATCCTGGCCCAACCCCTGGCCACCTGGCCAGCTCCCCTGCTGCAGCGGGGCCTCCTGTGGCCTTGAGGGGGGCGGCATGATGCTATCGGGAGCCAGGGCCTGGTTAATGGGGTGGCACCTGCTGTGGCCGGCAGGGCCCGGCTGGCCGGCCAGGAGCCAGTGTGGGCAGGGAGCACCGCCAGGCCACTCCAGCAACCCTGCCTCTGGGAGAGGCCAGACGCCGCCCGGCAGGACGCAGTGAGCTGTGAAGGCCACCGAGGCCTGTGGTGCCGCCGGGCCAAGAGGCTGCCGGCCACAGCCCTGGGCCATGGATGCGGGGCCGGCGAGCCCCGGGCAGCTGCGGTGTGGTCCCAGACGGGCTGCCTGTGGGGGCCCGGCCCGTGGTGCCCCTCCGCCCGTGCGCACTGCCCCCTCCTGGGGCCCTGCGCGGAACACCCGCCCCACCCTCACACCCCGGGGAGGCGGTCGGGGTGCAGGGCGGCTGAAGGGGCTGGCGCGGGGGACGGGCCGGCTGGGCCCAAGGGAAGGAGGCGCGCGTGAAGGCAGCGGCTGCTTTAATGTCTCAGCTGCTGCCCAGCCCCGGCGGGCAGGGGCGGGCGGAGAGGGCCAGGGCGGCGGGGGGGGGGGGGGGGGGGGGAAGGGGGGGGAAGGGGGGGCGGGGCAAGGCCTCAGGTGTCGGTTCCATGGGGGCTCCGCGGGTCAGGGCCAGCCTCCGGGGTCTAGCCACCAGGCAGGACAGGCCCCTCGGGGGCCGGGAGCTGGAGGCCCGGGGGCGGGACGCTGGAGTCGGCCTCACACTTGGTGGTGCATCCGCGAAGGGGCTCCGGCGCCTCGGGGTGCAGCAGGCCGGGCGGCTCAGGGGGCCCCTCTGGCCCCTTTGGGGCCCCGCGCCTCACGGAGAGGTCGAGGGGCGTGTCCGGCGGCCATGCGGCCAGTTCCAGCGCCTGGTGGATGGAGCGCAGCTCGCGGCGGATCTTGCCCAGCTGCTCCTGCAGGGGAAGCGGGGCCGGGCCCTGGGCGGGCCCCAGCTGCCCCAGGCGCTGCTCCAGCCGGGCGTAGTCCCCCAGGGCGCGCGTCAGGTCCTCGCCCACCTGCCCGCGGCCGCCCGGCGCCAGGCCCCGCGGTGGGGTCGGCGCGGAGGCCTCAGGGTCACCTGGCTCCTCGTCGTCGTCTGGCCAGAGCCTCGCGGGGAGACCGGTCGGCGGGCTGGAGGGCAGGGGCCAGTCAGGGGGGCCGAGGCCTGTCCATCGCCCTTCCCAGCCGCCGGCCGCCCCCCAGGCCCACGGGAGCTCGCGCCCTGGGGTCTTGCCCCCCCTCAGGACCACACCCAGTGGCTGGGTCGCCCAGGGGCTGAGTCACCCAGCTGAGGGGCCCCCCACCCCGCGACGGGGAGCCTCCGCCACCCACCTGCTGTGGAGACCGGGCCTCGTCGCGCTGGCGGGGGGCTTCGGGGGCTGTGACCAGCTTCCCGGGGGCAGCTTCCTCTGGGGGTCGCCCTGGGGAGCCCACTCCAGCGCCCTCTCCTGCCCGGAGTGCCTGGGGGCGCCATGCAGCCAGGGCACCCCCAGCCCGGGGACCAGAGCCCCAGGGGGCCCCTGGGATGGGGGCTCGGCAGGGCCGGGGCGCCTTGGCGGGCAGCCCCAGCGCGCGCTCCAGGAGCAGCGGGTAGTACAGGCGGGGCGGCTGCGGGGCAGGGCAGGGCAGGCGGCAGCCGCGGGGGCCAGAAGGGGCACATGGGCCGCCAGCGAGGGCCCCAGGCAGGAGAGGAGCCGCGCGCCTGGAGGGTAGGTAGCTGGCGCCGAGCAGGGACAGCCGGAGGCCCTGGGCCTCGGGCGCGGCGGCGGGACCGGGCGGCGGGACCGGGCGGCGGGTAGCGGGGGCCGCGTCCCCCCTCGGGTCCCCGCCCGGCGCTGGCGTCCAGGGCTGGGCCAGGAGGGCGTCGCGGAGCGCGGCGCTCCTCGGGCCCCGGCTCTGGCCCGCTGCAGGGCGAGGTCGGGCTGGGAGGCCGTGCCCGGGAGCCGCGGGGCGGGGCGCGCTCGGGCGTGGGGGCCCGGGGCCCGGGCGCGGCGGGGGCACGGTGGCGGCAGGCCCAGTCGGGGGCGTCGAGCAGCAGCGAGAGAGAGTCCTTGCACTGGCTGTACTTCATGTGGTTGTACAGGTGCGACTTCTCCAGGCAGGTGAAGGGGCACTGGAAGCACTTGTAGTTGTAGGGCTTGCCCCAGGGCCGCGGGATGTAGTGCGGCTTCTTGGGCTTCCGCGCCCGCGCGCCCACGCGCGCCTTCTGGGCCATGGCGGGCCAGCGGCGGCCGGGCCATGGCCACCTGCGGACAGGGGCGGGCTCAGACCCTCTGGCCGACTCCCTGCGCCTCTGCCCGCCGCTCCGGGCGCCCCGGGCGGGGGACGGGGGCGGGGGGCGGGGCGCCGGGACGCCAGCACCCTGGGACCTCCCAGCCAGCCGGCCACGCGCACCCCGCCCTTCGCTTCTGCCCGAGCGCTTCTGGCGCCGGCCGCGGCGGCCGCTGAAATGGCACCGGGTGTCCGACTGGGCGAGGATGAAGTCCGACTGGGCGCCCTGTGTTCCGAGGGCTGGCCCTGCACCCGGCCCGGCCCGGCCGCCCCCAGCAGAGCCCAGCCCGGCACAGGCTGAGAGCCCGGGAGACCCTGCGCGAGCGGCCCTTCCCAGACCCGGTGGGGCGGGCCCAGCCAAGCGGCCGGCAGCGCCGTGCCTGGGGGGTTGCCCGCGCTCTGGGGCCGCTGAGGGTCTCTGAGGGGCTGGGCCTCCCAAGGGACAGCCAGCCTGGGGGCATGGGCGGCACAGCCTGGCCATGGTGCCCCACCTGCTCGGCCTGGCTCCATCTGGGTGGCTTCAGGCAGGTCAGCCGCAGAGCTTGGCCAAGACCCCCTCCCCGCACCACCCCCTCCCTTGCTCACAAGCGCTAGGCGCTCTATCTGGGCCACCACCTGGGCCGTGCGCGCCCCAGTGCGCCCGGGCTGGCACGCCTGCGTGTGCCAGGCTCCCGACCCTCGCTCGGCTCCGCAGGGGCAGCGGGCACCATTCTGGCCTCGGATGCCCACACCAGGTTGGACGCGGCCGCTGCAGTGACACCGCCCATCCAGGCCCGGGCCTGTACTCACGCTGTGCCTGTGCCTGTGCCTGCTCCGGGGCGGGAGGGGGATGGGGCGGGGACGGGCAGCTGGGCAGGGCCCCACTGGCCATTGGGCTCTGCGCCCAGCAGGCAGTGGCATCTGCTGCCCCGAGCCCAGGTGAGCGGGCATCAGGGGCAGCTCAGGGGGTGGATGTCAGGGTGCGCAGGGCCAGGCAAGCTCCGCCTTATGGGCTCCAGCCCTGGGGCTCAGGCTGGAAGGAGGGGCCGGGCTCAGGAGAGGCCTGGAGCTCTCTGAGGGCTGCAGACCCTGCCTGGAATCGGGGTGGGGGCTGAGGCAGACCCCACCGTGCCCCGCGCCCGGATGCAGATGACAAATGGGTGTGTGCTCTGGAGACAGAGGCGGCTGCGTGGAGGACATCGATCACCCAGCCCTGGGAGCTGCACAGCTGTGCCGCCTGGTGCCACCGCCCACCCAGTGCCCCGCTGGCAGTTAGACTGGGGGCGCCTCCGGGCCACTGGACTCAGGGGGGCCACCCGCTGTGCTGCAGATCAGCCCCTTGGTGAGGGGATCTTGTCCAGAAGTCATGGCAGCAGCTGCTGACCCCAAGGACACCCAGAGGGTACCCTGATGCCGCCTGGCATACTTGTGCAGAGCAGAAGGTACCCCCAGATACCAGCCTGCACCTCCACTACCCAAAGTCACCTTCCTTCCCACACATGCCCCAATCCGAGACTGAGTGCACGGCCCCGGCAGCCTGCACCCCAGGAGCGGGGCGCCTCTGGGGAACGGCTGGTGGCGGGCCAAGACCGGGACACCCCACCCAAGATGGACAAGAGGACACTTCTGCCCGGGCCACCCAGCAGCCACCCGGGGTCCAGCGCCTCCACCCCCAGGTCCCGCTTGGGCTTCGGGGAGCCTCCCACAGGACGTGCGTGGCTCAGAGAGAGGGGCCAGGTTCCTCCTTGGCTGAGGCTGCGACCCTAACTCCCTCGCTCCGAGCCGCACCCAGACGGCCGGTGGCGGTGCCGGCTGGACCCGGGTAGAGGGGCCGGGCCGATCTGTCCGCGCCCAGAGAGCCGCCCCCGCGCCCCCAACTCAGCCCGCCCGCAGGCCCCAGACTTGGCTGGACGCGTGACCACCCGCGCCCCGCCTTACCTGCGCTGCGCCCCAGAGCCTGCGGTGGTCACGGACCCGGCGGAAACTTCCCGCCCCCGCCCCGCCCGGACCCGGCAGCACCGGCCTGGCCCTCGGGACGGCGACGCGGGCGCCCGTGGGGTAGCCGAGGCCGGCGCCGGGAGCCGCGGCCGCTCCCTCGGCAGCGACTCCCCGAAGTCTCCGCCGCGACCTAGTCCCCCCGACGCCAATTCGCGCTGCCCAAGTTGGCGGCAGCGGCTGCCGCGCGTGCGCCTCCGCACCGGGCTGCGGGGGGCGCTGCGGCCGCGGGGCCCGCCCGCGCGAAGGGGCGCGCGAGCGCGTTACCCTCGGCGCCCCGCGCCCCTTCGCTGGCCGCGGCGCTCCCTCGTCCCGCGGCTCCCGGGGGCCCGCCGCGGCGGAGCTGGGAGCCCGCCCGCGGGAGGCGCAGGTGCGTGATCCCCGCGGGCGCCCGGCCGGGCCCGCCCCGCGCCCGAGGCTGCCCCGGGGCCCGGCGCTCTTCGCCCGCGGCGCCGAGACGGTGTCCGAGTCGGGCCCGTCCGCCCTCAGCCGCCGGCCGCCGCGGGGCCCCGGAGAGGGCCTGGGTGGGGACAGAGCGCGGTGCCCCCCAGCCCCCCCGGCCAGCCCCCGGCGCCCCGCGCCCCTGGGGCCGGCTTGGGAGAGGACCCCGCCCCCTCCTGCGGGGCCCCGGCCCTCCTGGGCTGCCGGGGTGGGGTGGGGTGGGGTGGGGGCTGCATGCTGCCCCTCCCGCCCGTGGCCTCCCGGCCAGGCCCGCACCCACCTCGCAGGCCGCCCCCCAGTCCGGCGCCCCGTTTCTCACCTGGGGCCCCGCGGAAATCTGACTGGCCACTTCCTCTGGGCCCTGGTACCGCCCTGGCAGCGGCCAGACCCCGACTCCCGGGCAGGCTCTGCCGTGTCCAGGGCGGAAACCATAACCCGAGGAGCCTGCACCCGGGTCAGGGGGGTCCCGGAGGCCCTGCCGGCTCAGCCTTGGCCTCTTCGGGGTCCTGTGTTCCGGGGCACCTTGGGGAGGGAGGGGCACCCTCTGGGCGCCCGGGCGCAGACAGGGCCCAGCCCCCCAAGCCCCCGAACTTGGCCTGAGCTGCCCACCCGCGCAGGGTGAGAGGCCAGCCCGCGGAAGGGGGCGCAGGCGAGCCGCGTCTCCGTGAGAACCGGCCCGGGGCACCGGAGAGTCTGCAGGGCTGGGGCCGGGCGGGCCACGGTGGGGGCGCAGCTTCCTCTCTGCCTGCTCAGCCTGGCCCAGCTGACCAGCTGACCGTGCAGCAGCCTCAGGCGGAGACAGCGTCCATGCCGTCACGCCGGCCACCCCATGGACCGCAGCGCCGGCTCCTGCAGCGCACAGACACCCCCAGGCGTGCACAGCCAGGCCAGGGCTCATGTGGGTGCTGCCTGGGGGGCTGCCCGGGGGGCGCCACCTGGTCCTGGAGGCTGGGGCTGAGGGCTGTCCGTGGCCCCTGCCGGCCGACCCTTTGGGGCAGCTGCCGGCGCCGGCTGGAGTGGCGGGCCAGGGTGGGGAGGAGGCCACCGAGGGTGCGGGCAGGGGGCGTGTGGGGCTGGCTGGGGAGCTGGGCACAGCAGGAGCCAGGGGACTGGCCGGGGTGTGCACGGGTGACCCTGGGCCCGGCACTGCCCACTTGCCCCACAGTGGGGCCCTGAGGCAGGGACGGGGACCCCCAAGGCTCCCTTTGAGCCCGGACCCTGCCCTTGGTTGGGTAGTGGGGGCTCCTCTCCTTGGCCACCTGGAGCAGGGCTCTGTGCCCGCCGACCCCTCTCTGGACAGAAGCGGCCGCGGGCCTCGGCCTGGGTCCTGCTGGCCTCCACGGGTCTGGGGCCTGGCGTGGGGGTGGCAGCGGGTGGGGAGGGAGGGCGGATGGTGTGGCCCGGCAGGCTGTCCCCGCCTCAGGGTCCACACAGCCCTCTCTGGGAGGGTGCTGGGGCTGCCCTGCGGGCTGAGGGCGGGTGGCGAACCCCAGGGGGCTGGCAGCCCACCCCCTTCCACAGGGCCGCGGGCTGCCCCAGGGCTCAAGGGGCAGAGGTGGCGGGAGCCGGGCTAGGCTGCGGGGGTGGGGGGTGTGTGTGTATGTTCGGGGTGTGGGGGGCTGACCCCAGGCCCTGGGGGGTCTCCAGGGCCCCGTCCCAGCCCAGCCCGCAGGGGTGCAGCGCTGTTCCGGCTGGGCGGTCAGGAGGGGCCGGCGGGCCCGCGTCAGGTCGGGGTGGGCGGGCTGGGGCTGGGCGGCTGCGGGAGACGAGCCGGTGCCCTCCGCGGCCCGAGGCGCTGGCCTTCCCGGCTGTCACAGGCGATTTTCCCTGCCTGAGTGGCGGCCGGCGGGGGCGCGGGGGGCGGCCGGGCGGGGGCGGGCGGGGGGCGGGCCGGCCGGCAGGGGTTGGGGGGCCGGCGGGGGGCGGGGTGTAAGGGGTCCCTTTACGGGCGGGAGGCGCCTGCCCCCCCTTCCGGGCCGCGTCCAGGCCGCCCTCCTGCGCGGGCCGGGGGACCCCGCACTGCGGCGCCAGGGCGGGGGCAACAGCAGCGCTAATGGGGACGCTGAGCGCTTGTGACAGGCGCGGGCGCCGCGGGCAGGGCCTGGGGGCGCCGCGGGGTGCGGCGCTGACCCCCTCCGCGGGGCCTCGGCCCACGCGTCCTCCCCAGGCCCTGACTCTGCGCCAGCGCCCCCCGCGGCCCCCCAAAAGGCTGGGGGCGGCCGAGCCTCGCCGGCTGAGAGGCTGACCGGGTCCCCTGGGAACACCCTGTGCCTTCGCCTGGGGCGCCCGACCCCCTGTGCCCCTTCCCTGCCGGAGCCCCCGCGGCAGCTGGGCTGGGGCCCCCCAGGCAGGGCGCACACGCTGCCCGCCCGCCAGGAGGCCCTGCCCGGCCCGAGCCCCGCAGGCCTGGCCAACGGGTCCCGCGGGCCGCGGCGGGGGGCGGGGGGGGGCGCCGGGCGGGGGGCGGCGGGGCAGACGCGCCGCAGCAGCTCCCGCCCGAGGCCCGCCCGGGGCCGGCTCCGCCGCTGCCTTAATTGCTCTGGCTGGTGCCGTGAGCGAGGCCGGCCTGCGGCGTGGCTGCACGCAGGCTGCGGGCGTTGTGTAAGGGGGTCCCCACCTCGGGTGCCCAGAGCAGCGCGGGCAGTGAGACTGCACGGGTCCCGCCCCGCAGCCCCCAGAGCCCGCAGCTCTGCGCTGAAGGGACGCGGGGCAGCGCTGGGGCAGAGTCTGGGGCCCGCGGGGTCGGAGCTGGCCCTGCTGTGCCCCCGCCTCCGGCCAGGGAGCCCCGTGCGGCTGGGAGCCGCGAGCCCGGGAGCGCCCACAGGACCTGGCTCTGGCCGCTTCCCTCCCAGCTCCTCACGTCCTCCCAAAACTGCCCGTAGGGGTTCGGGCGCGGGGCTCGGAGCTCTATTGGATTCCAATTAAGTTTTGCTCGCCCTCCGGGGTTTCTGCTCAGAGAAAAAGCGGGGTAGCTGAGCGTAAACGCTCCCTCCCTTCATTTACATGGAGGCCCCGCCTCCCTGATCCTGAACTGCCCCGGGGCCCGGACCACCAGTCTGCGCTGGTCCCCAGCGGGAGGCCAGAGCTGGGAGGGGCCCTTGCTCCCGGGTGCACTCTCCTCTCACCCCTGTGGGGAGGCTCCCCCGACTTGGCCAAAGGAAGACTGGGCACCCGGAGGGGTGCTGGCCGCTTGGCCTTTTGGTTCTTGCAATGGAGGGGGAAGCAGAGATGGTCTCGGCGCCCAGCTGAGGACGCAGGGACTAGTCTGGAGAATTCCTGGAGGTAGAGCTAGCTGGAAAGAAGGGGGGGGGGACAGAAAACCCAGGGCCTGCTCTGGGAGGCCCCCTCCGTGGCCCACAGGGGCGGCTCCCTGGAGTGGAACCTCAGCTCCAGAACGGGGCCGCCTGAGCCTCCCTGGACTTTGGGATTAAGTTTCAGGCCCCCCCTTGGACCCCCTGCACCCCTCTCCTACCTGAGGCCCAGGTGACAGAAGGACAGGGCTCCCAATTTGGGGGCAGCAAGTCCCGGGGCCAGAGCTGTGGCCTCCCAGCACACACGTGCCCAGGCTCCGGGCCGCGGCCTTCTGGAGGGTCGGGACTCTCCCCTCTCAGACTCCCAAGGACTGGAGCCATGTTTGGTTTACAGCAACCCCAGAGGTTTGGAGACCCGCTGCCTCAGGTGTGGGGCACGCTGCCCACCTCTGTGCCGGCTTTCGGCCCGCGGCCGTCCTGGAGTCCTGGCAGGGGACTGGCCTGGGTGCTGATGCGCTGCCTGTGCCTGCCCGGACCCTGGGCGCTGCGGCGGGTTGGGGGGCGGATCCGGAGATGCTTGTTTGTCTGTTTAATTTAAGCGATGGAAGCCTAGGGCCGAACGCACTGCTGGAGGCTGGAAGGGAGTCGGCACCTGCACCCCAACCCCAACCGGTACTCCCAGACGCGCAGGACCCGCCGCGCCTCCCGCCGCCGATCGCGGGGCTCCCGACCCAGGGCCCGCCGGGGAGCGGGGCGGATTCAAACTAGCCATAAAATAACTGTGTACCCACCATTATTAAGAAATGCCCCTGTGTAATCAATGAATGATGCACCTATGTAACGAATGACTGCCAACATGATTTAATTTTTAGAAATCTACTTGTATCCCTATATAAGATCCCTGTATCCTTTGTTTAGGGCTCCCGACCTCCACCGTTACATCAGTGCGTGTCGAGGGCCCGGTCTCCAGCCGGTAATAAACTCCTTTGTGTTCTTACAGCGGTTGTCTGTGTGTCCTTGGGGGCTGCACTGGTCGACGCTGGGCACAACAGGGACGGGGCGGCGCCTTCAGGGACTGGCCCCTGCGGGGAGCGCGGCTTCTGTGCCGAGAAGCATCTTCCCCTGCGAGCCCCAGGGTCCCCGCGGGCCTCCACTGATGGGAGGAGGCCCCCGGCGGGCCGGGGTCGCCCACTGATGGTCAGGAGCACAGCCGCCGCCGCCGCCCAGACCGAGTCCACTAGTGGGGCCGGAGCCTGAGCAAGTGCGCGGGACCCCCCAGGCTCAGGAGGCCGGGCAGGAGGGGCGAGGGGTGCAGGGAAGGTCCGCGGGCGCGCGCGGGCTCTCGGCACAGTCACCAGGTCATGCTGGGGCGCGGAGGGGCGCAGGAGCGCCCCAGACGCGCCAGGGCGGGCGGGTCAGGCTCCTCGGCCGGGCCGGGCGGGCGCTGCGTCGGGGACGAAGGTGCAGCTGTGCCCTCAGCTCAGTTTTCAGGGGCCAATAGTGGGGGCTGGAAGGCTCGTGGCCCCCGAGCCCGGAAAGCAGGGGAGCCCCTCCCCGGAGCCCCGCCCTGACGCGGGGTCCTGGACGCCAAGGGCCGCGCTGGGCAGGACGCTCTCCCCGGACGCGGCTCCGTGGGCGCGAAAGGGCCGCGACCCCCGAGACCGGGGCCACAGGTGCAGGTGACCCCTTGGACTCACTTCCTGCTGGGGGGGGGAGCCTGAGCCCCGCCTCTGTGGAGCCCCCACACGGAAGGAACCGGCGCTGGATGTGCGGCTGGAGCAGGAGACGCGAGAGAGGCTGCGGGGAGGAGGCTCCCCAGCCGCCCTCCGCGTCCCCCTTCTCCCATCCTCTCCGCTCACCGGTGGCTCCCCAAGGCCAACAGGGCCCCCAGCGCGCCCCTCTCCCCTCTCGGGCAGCGCGCGGGTCCCGGACCCGGAGACTCAGGAGGCGGCGGGGCCGAGGCGGGAGCGGAGGCGCTTCCCGGCCGCGCTCACCGCGTCGGGCGAGGAGAGCGGAGCGGGCGGGGACGCTGCGTCCTTCTCGGGGCCGCGGACTCTCTGGCCGGGCCGCGGTGGGGCTGGCGAGGCGGGGACGGGGCCACGCGCAGGGAACTCGGGCGGCGGGGAAGGGCTGGACGCGGGCGCTCCGGGGCTTATGTTGGGCCCTGAGGAGCACGTGGGCGGGCCGGTCCCTCAGGGTGAACTGCGCGGCTGCGGGCTCCCTCCGGCTCCTCGGGACCCTGAGGGCGCCCCCGGGGCGGGCTCCCCTCTGTCCCGCGGGCCGTTTTCACTCCCGCAGGGTTAAGGGGCGTTTGGGGCACACGTTGTAAGCTTTCTGGGCTGAGCCCCCTCCGGCCCTAGGCCCAGCAGCGGAAGGGCAGGGCGGGTGCCCGGGTGAGGGGGGGGCGGGGGTGTCTGTATCATTAACGTGTGATTTTAACTTTGTGTGATGTTTAATATTTAAATTAATCATGTTGTGTCTGTGTCGGATTGTAACAGGGTGGTCCCCAGGAAAGGAGGAAGTTCCCGGTTCCCTGCCCCACCCAAGGGAGGGTGGAGCTGAGCAGGAAGAGGAGAAGCAGCAGAAGAGACTGAGGAAGGAAGGAAGCAGGATGGAGCCAGGAGACCTGGAGGAGGCGCATGGAGCCTAGAGACATGTGAAGAAACTGCGCTTGTCTTTTGGTCGTGGACTGGGTGACACAGATGTGGGTGAGACCCGTGGGGAGGTGACAATGGCAGCTTTTATCTTGATGTTGATTTTGCTCTTTTCCTTCCGGGCTTGTCTGGTTGTTTCTTTTCTGTGGGTCCCCACTGGAAGATGCTTTAGACTTGTGGCAGGCTTTGGGGCCTTGCTCTGGGCCGATCCCATATGGATGGAGTTTTACCCACGAGGGGACGGGTAACTTTGGGTGCTTCATTTAGAAACTAGACTCTTTGCCTTACCTGTATTGTTTCCTAGTTTTATTAAAGTTCCTTCCCATTAAAGTCTCATGTTTTGTGTTGATGCGGCGGATGGCAGAACCCATTTAGAATAGGCAGGTTTGCGGGGCTTGGGCTGCCCCTCTCCTTGTCCTATAACAGGATGTCACTCAGCAGTGTGAAGGCAAGACGAGCCCACATTTTGGATGCGGCTGGACTGTTGACTCTCCCTGCGGTGTCACAGCGCGCGCTCCCTGCAGGTGTTCTCACTCTGTTCTCCTCCCGCGTGAGGGGTAAGGAGAGGGTGTGTCATTAATGTTTCTTCTGTGGTGGGATCACAGCACTGCCAGGATTCTCCACTTTCAACATTTAACACTAACATAAGGACTTTCCACGCCATTAAAGACTGTTCAGTGTTACTGTATCTAGCTTTTACATTTAATTTTGTGTATATTGGGGGTTTTTATTTGGATAGTTTTGAATCATTTTACTGTAAATAAAGTGTTATTGAACACTGTTACACATAAAGATTTATCGGAATTTGAAAGCATTTCCTTAGGTCATTTCCAAAATTAAAATTACTATTTCCACTGAAAATGTATTTTAGGGCCTCCCCAGTGGCGCAGTTGAGCGCAGCCTGTGGAGCTGTCCGCAGCCTCCGCAGCGCCGGGTCAATCCCGCCGGCCTCGGAGCAGCCCACATGGCACAGCAGACCTCTTGTGTCATGCCTGCTGCTCCCCTCAGCAGTGTGTTTCAGTCAGTTTGTCTGTTCTGCCCCCAACTCTGTCTCTGGTGAATCCTCTCAAACACAACTACCATGTCTGGCTTACAACCCAGTTCTTGAGTGCATAAATAATCTTTTAAGATTTATTTATTTATGCACACAGGAACTGGGGTACAGGCCAGAGATGTGGGGGGTGAGAGGATTCACCAGCAACAGAGTGGGGAACAGAACAGGCAGACTGACTGACTGAAATGCACTGCTGAGGGGAGCAGCGGGCATGACACGAGAGGTCTGCTGTGCCATGTGGAACCTTCTCTGGCCAGCCGGGATCGAACTGGCGCTGCAGAGGCTGTAGACAGCTTCACAGCTCTGCGCTCAACCGCCTAAGCCACCAGGGGAGGCCCTGTTTTAAATACAATTCTTAACACATCTCGCTTTATTTGCATTTAGAGTTAGGATCATCTACCTTTTGATTTTTAGATTGTGAGAGGTTATGGAAAATTTTCATCTTTATTTATCCCACAGGCCCAGAGGTGATCTTTTTCCAAAGTCCGAGCCCTGAGCCATTGGGCGACAGAGTACCCATGGCCCCAGCAGGGACACATTTGCAACTTGAAGCAAGCAGGGAGTAGAGAAGCAGGAGACTTCTAAGAGCTCACCTGGTCATCTGGGGGGCACAAGTCAGGCTCCTGGCCAGTCACTCCCTGAAACTTTTAGTCTACCCCCAGGCCTTGTCCCAACATAACTCCAGCTAATGAGCAGGTCACAGTGGGCTGGGGCAGGCGGGCTGGGGCAGAAGGCACAGGTAGGTCTGTTGCAAGCTCCAGGACTCCCAGCCTTTCACCAACAGTGTCTGCCGCAGCCAGACCCTAAAATATCCACAAGTCATTAAAACAGCAAACAAGGTTGCTTGAATTTCTGGGAAAGATTTTTTTTTAATCGTTGTTAAAAATCCCCTTACCTGAAGCTGACATAAAAGCAAGGCGTGGGGCCTCTCTGATGGCGCAGGGATTAAGCACAGCACTGTGAAGCCTCTGCTGCACGAGTTCCATCTGATGGAGGGCAAGAATGGAAAGACTGGAAAGGGAGGCCTCACGTGACTAAAACCTGACTCACGCAAGGAGGTGGGGGTCGAACCCTTAGGCGCCAGTGCCTTGTCACAAGGCAAGAGACCCAAGCAGGATCCGATATTCTAGGGAGTGGCGCACAGGCCTGAGGGGAAGGATATGGAGATTGGGCCCACCCTGGAATCTCTGGTCCCTTTCTAGTGTTGCCTGTTACCGACATCAGCAACAGGCAGCCACTCCATGGAAGAGTGACCCTCCCAAAGAGAAAAGGGCTGTATCAGGGCAGTCTCTGCACGGGCTCAGGGCAGCCGTCCGTCTGCCCACCCGTGACTACGCAGGTGCCTCTTCTCACCAACTCTCTCCCTCCGCAGGGCAGCAGCCTCCTGCCTGCCGTGACCTGTCAAGGCCGCCCGCCTGCAACCATGCAGGCCTCTTTCAGCGAAACCTGTCCCTTTCCCTCATAAACCTGCCCTGTTTTTGTTTTGTTTTTTTGTGGGACCCTCGCCAGCAGCCAGGGAATGAACAGGCGCTGCAGAGGCTATGGGCAGCCCCTCAGCCCAGCACTCAACCACTGCACCAGCAGGGGAGGCCCTAAATCTGCCCTTTAATGTAACTAGTGTTTCTGTCTTGTGGAGAAACGTGGCTGGGGAACTTGCTGTGTCCCGCTGTAATGGGAGCTCTGGGGGCACCTTTCCCAGAGTGACCCCGGGACCCCCACACACTCTACAACCTACAACATTTTGGCAACCATGAAGGGACTCATCACATCATCTGGTGCCAACATCACATCCCCAGCCAGGAAGGTGACCCGCAGGTTGCCACAGACCTCTCCTGTCTCCCCGCTGCTCCCTCAGCAGTGGATTGCAGACAGTCCACCTGTTCTGTTCCCCACTCTGTCTCTAGTGAATCCTCTCACCCTCCAGTGCATCTGGCCTGTACCCTGGTTCTTGTATAAAAATAAATAAATCTTAAAAAAATTAAATAAAAGCACGACTAAACATCATTTACCTGCAGATCCGGAAATGGATCCTATTGTACACATTACAAAGCAGCTGCTATTCAAAATACATTGTGAGAAAAATGAAGGCTCTCGGCTCCACATCATGGTGCAGCACAATACACTTTGGCCCAGACTCTGACATCCCTGAGCCTGTTCCGGGGTTTGGTGTAATATTCAGCCTTGAGCCAGGAGCCTGTGTTTATTTTGGGGGCTCAGACGGGTCTCCTGGGGACTGTGCAATCTTGGCTGTCCTCTCTCTGCCTTTGGATTGGTGAGCTCTATAGAGGATCTTCTACTGCCACTTTGACTTTAGTTGTCTGGTTCTACTTCCCTGCTCAGCTTTTTCTTTTTTCTTTTTTTTCTTTTCTCTTTAAATTATACAAGGGATCTCTTTTAAACTTTTCTTTCAGGGAAGATTTGTTAGTGTTCCACTTCTTCAGCTTTTGTTTGGGAAGAACATTTCTACTCTCTTGTCTCTGTAGGAGAATCCTGCAGGTTAGGATATTTGTGACCCGTATATTTTATCTCTATTCTGAATGCATTATTTCATCCTCTCATTCCACCACAGTCCTCCAGAAATGTAAGCTGGGTCCATCCCCACATATGCACGGTCCATGACAGAAACTTGTTAAGAGGTGCTGGGATCTGGACTTCATCCTGGTGCAGTTACCTGAGCGTTCTGAAAGGATAACTCTACAAGACTTCCATGAAAACCAGCATCAGGAACATCATTGGTACACTCTACCTATAGACTAGAGAGAGAGAAATTGGAGAAAGATGAAAATTTCCATAGAAAGCAGTCCAATAAATCCAGAAAAGAAGAAATTTATTATATAAGGAAAAGAGAGCCAAGATCACCCATTTTCTGGGGCTCAAGGACCATAGGGAAAGCTTTTGGTATGGGGACTTGGCAAGACTCTTGTGTATTGTTGGAGTGCTATGCAAGAAATCCCAGGTCCAGACATGCAAATGAGCCCTCTTACTTTCCTTTTGCTTTGTGAAATGAATGTGTATATTATTGTAAAATAGTCTCCTTTGTGGGCCTCCCCTGGTGGCACAGCAGTTGAGTGCTGGGTTGTGAAGCTGCCCGCAGCCTCCACGGTGCTGGTTTGATCCCCAGCTGCCAGAAGGGTCCCACATGGTGCGGTGCTGGTTTGATCCCCAGCTGCCAGAAGGGTCCCACATGGTGCGCAGACCTCTCCTGCCACCCGCTGCTCCCCTCAGCAGTGTACTTCCTCAGTCTTCCTGTTCTCCTCCCCGCTCTGGTTCTGGTGAATTCTCTCACTCTCCTGTGCTTCTGACTGTACCCAGTGCCTGTATAAATAAATAAATACATCTTAAAAATTAATCTCCTTTGTACTCACTGAGTATTTCTGCTGGGAGAAAAAGATGAATACTTCAGGGGCTATCAGCAAACATTTCCATTTTAAAGCCATTTCAGTGACTCATACAGGGCTGCCACCATATAAGGCCAAATGTGGCATTTACTCTATGATGCTAATTAAGTTCATGCATGTGTTGCCTGGGGCATTATTTCTTTCCCTGGATGTTCCTATAAGACTCAGAATTGAGAATATTATTCACTGTACACAAAAATATAAAGGGTCTTTGTAATGCAGTCAAATATAAATGACATTTTAGGGTATCATCACTGTGAAGTTACATGAATTCTCAAAGTCAAAAATCTGTTCATCACCTTATTAATTCAAGCATTAATTCAAGCATTC